AAGACTTAGCTCAAACGTCAGCTCCTATATAAAGCCTTTGCCCATCCATATTAGGTAGAAGCAATCATCTCGTGATGTTTCTGGGCTTTGGATGCAGTTCATGTGTGTGCACCTGCCTTCTCCCCTCCTGAATCACAGACTTTGGGCCTCCTTCATCTTTGTCTCCCCAAAGCCCACCAAGGGACTTTCTTCCATGCTCCGTAATTGTTTGCTGAAGGCAGCTACAAAGTGCATTTGGTAAAAACCTTGTTAGTCCAGGAGAGGACAGTCAAGGCACCAACAACATCACAATCCAGCCGGGGTTAGGAAAGTATCGTTTCTGAGGCATGTTGTTCCCAAGCCTGGCACTGGGCATCCTGTGCAGACTAGAGGCAATGGTAGACAATCTCTGAGCTACCAAAAACCATTATTTAAATAAGGAACTTGATGTTTGACATTTCAAAGTGCATGGACATTGTCATCATAGGAAAAATCAGAACTGTGTTGGGTTTCCTCTTATTTTGCCATTTATAACTGCTCTTATTGTGAATTACATATTGTAGGACCTGGAGGGCGGGGTTGTTCATAATCTTTTCAGCCTCTAAAGAGCTTCACACTGCCCCTCTGAGACCTCCTTCCAGCAGCCTCTGAAAACTCAGCTCAGAAAAAAAAAAAAAGTGGAGATTCTATTGTTTCTCAGTTCTGCCAATTTAAGGCATGATTTCAGAGAAATCTTTCAGCCATTGTGTGTCTAGCTTCCTGCAATAGGAAGGTGGAAAGAATAACCATTTAGCACCTCATGACTGGTGAGAAATAGCTGGTGGTTAATGAATCAATGCAAAGGGTTTCTCAGATACTGTTTTCATTACTAATGCCCCATTTTCAACCGGTGAGAGCAGAAGGCCCAGGGGTTGGTAGAGGAAGGTATTCCAACAGCCCAGGATGGAAAAGGCACCACCCTACAAAGGCCCTTCCACTTGCCTAGGGTTTCCCTGCCATTCCTGAAGCAATCATGTTCCTCCAATCCCAACCCTGAGCCCTTTGCAAAGACACATTGGTTTTGTATTAGCTGATTTCGCTGGCACACTCAGCTGTTACAAATAACCCATTTACCTTCATCCTCTCGTTTGGAATTATCCCAGAACAAATATCTTTTTACTTTAAAAATAGTTTATCCTATTATTATTTTGAATACATATTGAGCACCTTTATAGATTTCTTTGATCTAATGGTTGTTAGTATGATTATATTATTATATGGAGATATAGTTCTGTGATTTCAGAAGCAAATCACTTCAAAGATGACCCACCAAGTTTAGAAGTCTATTTAAAAGCTGTCTCTAAATGTGTTGCAAACCCGTTTATTTAATAGTTACTTAGTAAGTGCCCGACCAAGAGCCCTGGGGATATGAGGATTATAAATGCATATAAAATATGTACCCTACCCTCAAGGAGCTGATTTTAGGATTATTACCCCATTAGGAGTCTAACTATTAACATGCATGTGTCCTAAGTCACTTTAGTAATGTCAGATTCTTTGCAACCCCATGGACTGTAACCCACCAGGCTCTTCTGTCCAAGGGATTCTCTAGGCAAGAATACTGGAGTGGGTTGCCAAGCCCTCCTCCAGGGGATCTTCTCAACCCAGGGTTCAAACCTGCATCTCTTTACATCTCCTGCACTGGCAGGAAGGTTCTTTACCACTAGTGCCACCTGGGAAGCCCAACTATTAATATAGTCACTGTGTTTTGCTCAACATTTTCCACTGTTGTTGTTTTACTTGTTTCAAAATTCAGGGCCTACAGGCAATCCTGAAACAGAGGTACATGTTCCCTGATGTTGCCTCAACATATCAACCTTTTGGCAACATTTGCACAGCCCAAAGTTTGAAGCTGGGAAGAACACGTCTACCCCTCCCCTGGGAGACCCACAGCAGATGGAATCTAATGGCAAAGCTGTGACTGTCACTCTTAAGCTCTCCGTGAGCTACTAAGCCTCCATCTCTCTTTGGTGGCTTCCTCTGATCTTTAGATGTGTCCAGCAGACTGCTGTACTGAAGCTCTTTATCATTATCTCAACTGATTCTTAGGGTGTTCACCCCACATTACAGATGGAAAAAACTGAGGCCCAGAGACATTGTATTTGCTTAATGGTCACCCAGCAGTAAGTGGGAGCCTAAAACTCCAGCCCTTTGGAGATCTCTAGTGTTACACTATCCTCAGCCTGACTGACAGGTCTGGTGTGTTCAAGTCTTCACAATGACCATCTGTACAAAGCTGATTTAATCATTTCCACAGATGCTGCTTTGCCCTTTTCTCATGATATAATCAGAAAGCTTTACGTTTGGAAGGCATCTTCCAAAAATAACTTTTCACGTCTTATCTTGTTGACTTTGCTTTCAACTTAATCTCTGATCTGTTTCTAACTTTCTGAATCTGCACAAGCAGAGGAGGGAAGCCACCTGTTTCAAGGTAGCTATCTCAAAGCCCAAGAAATGCAGAAAGGTTTACATAACAAAATGAGCCAAAGAAAGCTGTCTGAGACTATTTTTCTCAAAGGTCAGAACCTGAACTCAAATGTCATGCACTAAAAGTTTTTCCAAGTGAAAGAGCAAATGTGGTCCATGAGATTCAGATAGTTAGGGACCTTCAGACATGAAAGACTATTTGGGAGCTAAAAGCAAAGTTAAGAAGCAGTGTATATACAATTTTGCAGTTTTCCCAATTAAACAATAAATGAAACAAATGGATTGCTCTAGCCTTATTCTACGATCCTGGTCATTTAAACTGTAAATTGACAGTCAATTGTAGATCACTACCTATCACAAGTATGAATTTATTGGGGAGCCCCCATAAAAACAGTTGCCAGAAGGGACCCAAGAAATGCCCACTGCTATGAAAAAATCTACCTAATATCTGTACTGGGTGGGGCCTAGCCTGTGTTACAGCCCATTGATATCACCAATAAGCGAAATTAAGCCCACTTCATTCACAGGTGTACATTTCTGTGCCATCATATGTAGGTGGTTAAAAATGATGTTCAGTAGAACACCATGCAAAACCAAAGTTGAAAGAAAATTGGTTGCTATTACAAGGAAATGCAAATTTAAGGAAGGAATTCTCATTAGCACAGTTCCTTGGTATTAAAACATATTTGGATGCAAGACACCCCACTGTTTGGGGAGCTCCACAACCTAAAAAGGTGTTGAGTTTTAGCTGAATTTCCTGCTGGTTTTTTGCCTCTCAGTTTCTACCCTTTAAAAGTTCATGAAGATAAATCGTAAAATATTTGACAAGTGTCACATTTGGAAATTTGTCAGCATCTGACCATATTTTCCCTGGGTGAGTTTCCTCCCTTGCCCTTCAACACTAAGGGCATTTGTTTAATCACAGAATCTTTGTTTCTCAAGAGATAGTTGCTGTTTCTCTAATACTTATTCCCCCACATGCAGTTGCAATCCTTTGTCACAGGACAGTCATTTACACAGCAACCAACTGTGATGTCACGATTGAGGGGATGAGGACAGTGCACAAAGAAAAGAGAAAGAGAATGCTTTCTTCTCCAGGCTAAGTTTTCTGAGTTTTAAAAACCATCACTTCACCAATCAAAATATTTTAACAGAAAAACCCTATGACAAAGCTGCATTTCCTCAGGGTCTTGGGTGTCACACACAAAGCATTTCAACAGAAGTTGTTGTGCGTTGTGGGTTTGGGAAAGGGTAGAGATTTTTATTTCATTTTATTCTCATTCTGTACTACTGATATCTGCCAGTAAAATACATTAAACATATTCCAGAAAGAGTTGATTTAGTTGATGAAAAATGTGTCTCCTGAGACCAGAGAAGGTACATTTTCTGTCTTACTATCATTTCCATAATAGGAACAATGTTTACATTTCCTCAGCTCATGTTAAAGCCTCTAATGTATTCATGTTCTTTCACTCTCCAGAGGCAGGAATTGAGGTATTTGAGATTTTATTTTTTCAGCTACTGCATCAAGCACTTAAGATCTGACAATTGTGATGTGTATTCTCACTTGGCATTAAAAAATAAAAGCTTCAGTGTTTGCATTTGATTAGAGTCTCTCAGCTTAGTGGCTGATTAAGCAGGAACAGGGAAAGCCACTTTCTTCAGAAACACAGCATCTTGGTTAATGTAGTGTAAGATTATTGACGGGCAGAGTCACATAATTTTTATTAAATTGAAGCGATTAGCTCTGCTGAAGAATCTCACCGTGACAGCAAACTCTAGCTGTAATAATGAGACCTGACACTTCTCAAACCCACTACAGGACCCCAAATGGTCTCTACTTTGAAATATTCTTTCAGCTCAAGTAGAGGAAGAGCTTCATTCAAATATTCAGCATATTTACCTAAAATTGAGTTTTTTTACATGGGTTTTTTGTTTGTTTGTTTTTGGAGAAGCGATGCAAAATCAGCATAAACATTTGTAATCTATGGGCTTTATATAAATGATACCCACTGTCTTTCTCCCGGTTGCTTGAAATGTTAACCTAGCTGTTCTCCAGACAGAGGCCATGGGGCCCACCAGGAAGTAAGTCATCAGCAAACTCCCTGGAAGCCTGGAGCAGTGTGCCATTTATTCATTTAACATGCATAAAAGTGTTGCTTATTTCTCCAGACTCAAAATACCTCACTGGCACTTTTATGATGGGAAAGACTGAAAAAAAGATGAAAAGGGAAAGAGGATTAGATTTTGGAAAGGAAAAAAACTGCCATATTCCACGGACTGAACCAACTTAGAAAGAGCCCATACTTGAAAAAAGGGGAATGCACCTTTTCAAAACACAGAGAAGACAATAACGGAAGTCTATTTACATCCTGGGGGGTGGGGCGGGGAGGATTAATGAGTTAATGTTTGGCAAGAGGGAGCCTCAAAGACAAGTTCTGCAGAGGTGCCATTGTCACTTATTACTGTTATTAATTAACAGGGTGAATGCCAAACAAAATTAAGCCTCGGGGTCTGCTCTCACTTCTTCACACCATATGCGATGTCTTTTGCAGGAGTGATTCGGGAGAGCTATCTCAAAGGCCACGACCAGCTCGTTCCTGTCACGCTCCTGGCCATCGCGGTCATTCTGGCTTTTGTCATGGGGGCCGTGTTCTCGGGCATCATCGTCTACTGCGTCTGCGATCACCGGCGCAAAGATGTGTCCTCCGTGCAGCGCAAGGAGAAGGAGCTCACCCACTCGCGCCGCGGCTCCATGAGCAGCGTCACCAAGCTAAGCGGCCTCTTCGGGGACACCCAGTCCAAAGACCCCAAGCCAGAGGCCATCCTCACGCCACTCATGCACAACGGCAAGCTCGCCACTCCCAGCAACACCGCCAAGATGCTCATCAAGGCCGATCAGCACCACCTGGACCTGGCCGCCCTGCCCACCCCGGAGTCCACGCCGACGCTGCAGCAGAAACGCAAGCCCAGCCGCGGCAGCCGCGAGTGGGAACGGAATCAGAACCTCATCAACGCCTGCACCAAGGACATGCCCCCCATGGGCTCCCCGGTGATCCCCACGGACCTGCCCCTGCGGGCCTCCCCCAGCCACATCCCCAGCGTGGTCGTGCTGCCCACCACGCGGCAGAGCTACCAGCACGAGTACGTGGACCAGCCCAAAATGAGCGAGGTGGCGCCGATGGCGCTGGAGGACCAGGCGGCCACCCTGGAGTATAAGACCATCAAGGAACATCTCAGCAGCAAGAGTCCCAACCACGGGGTGAACCTGGTGGAGAACCTGGACAGCCTGCCCCCCAAAGTCCCCCAGCGGGAGGCCTCCCTGGGCCCTCCCGGGGCCTCCCTGTCGCAGAACGGCCTGAGCAAGCGGCTGGAGATGCGCCCCTCCTCGTCCTACGGGCTGGACTATAAGAGGAGCTACCCCACGAACTCGCTCACCAGAAGCCATCAGGCCGCCACCCTCAAAAGAAACAATACTAACTCCTCCAATTCCTCCCACCTCTCCAGGAACCAGAGCTTTGGCCGGGGAGACAACCCGCCCCCCGCCCCACAGAGGGTGGACTCCATCCAAGCGCACAGCTCGCCGCAGCCCTCAGGCCAGGCCGTGACTGTGTCGAGGCAGCCCAGCCTCAACAGCGCCTACAACTCACTGACCCGGGCGGGGCTGAAGCGCACGCCCTCGCTAAAGCCGGACGTGCCCCCCAAACCCTCCTTTGCCCCTCTTTCCACATCCATGAAGCCCAACGACGCGTGTACATAATCCCCGGGGTGGGGAGGGGGCAGGTGTCGAACCAGCAGGAAAAGGCGAGGCGCCCGCCCGCTCAGCTCGGCAAGGTTCTCCATGGCTGAGTACCCACCCGACCAAGACGGCCGCGGCGGCGCCCGGGACTCTGAGTCCCTCCCCGGGACGCAGCGGGGGGCAGGGACTGTCGACTATTGGGCCGTGCGGTTCGGTGAAGGTTCGCGACGCGGGACTCACCTCCATTTCTCTTCCTCCACTCTACCCCCACGCCCTGCAACAGGTTGGACTCACGGAAGACTGCAATCAGCATCACAAACATGAGCCAAAAGCACACACACCCACCCCTCCACCCACGCCCACCGTGTGCGTCTGCACGCCCGCGTGCACACACGCGCGCACACACACAGACACACACACACGTGGATAGCAACGGCAACATCGTGTCCATGATTGCACGGGGCGCTGCCCAAGTGGGCTAGCGTTCCCACCTGCAAAACAGTTTTTTTAAAAATGAGAATTAAAAAGACAAAAAAAAAATTCATTGATAATTCTAACTCAGACTTTAACAATGGCGGAAGTTTACTATGCTCAGATACTGTGAAATGCCCACCAGTTACAGCTTTCTGTTATAACAGATGAATGCCATGCTGGGCAACTATGTCATAGATTTCTGCTCCTCTCTTTTAATGAAATAACGTGACCGTTAACGCAAGTAACTCTTTATTTATTGTTCACATTTTTTTTCCTTAAGGAAAGGACTCTTCCACATACCATCCTCTGAACAGCTCTTCAGAAAGCCCCCTTGATAGTTAAAACTATTTAACGTGAAATCCATTAACTGGAATAATTGAGTTTCTTTATTTTTACAATAAATTCACTGAGTAAATAAGTCGGAGCTGGAATTCTGAGCTTTGTGTTTGGACTGTCTGATCTCTAGCTAAAGAAAAAAACTTAAGAGGGGAATATTTATTTAAATCTACCAGCTTAATTTTCTGGTCAGGTCCCTGGCCTATAACATGCAAAAGAATAATTTGTTTAAAAGTCCTTCCAGATCCTAACTTCTAAAGCAACCAGGAGAGGAACTTTGAGAATGGCACCTCGTGTCCCATTGCTGCCAACATAGCTTTGTCAAGGGTTCCTACTTTCTGTGAAGGCACCAGCTTGTGAAACACCATCTCATTTCACCTTGCATGTGAGACAGCAAACAAAATCTACCAATGGTGTGAACTAATTAATATGCTGGCTGCTACCTTGCATAAATTAATGGTTTGATCACACAGGTTTTTCGTGGGGTTACATCTGTGAATAGCCTGTTTTCCACATGTAAATTTGTGCCTTACACCCTGAGTTGTGTACACTTGTAAACTGTCATTATGATAATCTTTTCCCCCTTTTGAAATAAATGCAGATATTTATTTGAGCCTCCCTCCCCCCACCCCCATTGCAGTCCTCTGGAAGATTAGCATCCAGCTGAGGGAAGGAGGATGCAGTAGTGATGCTTATAGGAGAGCCGGGCAGCACCGCAGCCCGATTCACACTTCCATCCAGTGGTGCCAACTCCAACCACCCTTTGGCCATGCTGCCAAGCATGGATCCCAGTGTTGTGGGTGGCAAAGTCCCCTTTCTCCCTCCAGAGCTCCCTGCTTCCCTTGTATTCTCAGATCATTTCAACATGATGATGTCCTCATTAGCCAGCAGAAAAGGGACTAACGTCCCAGTCCTCATTTCTGCTGTGTCCACTGCCAGAACACGCTGTGTGAGGTTGGGCAGGCACCTGGGGGTAGTCTCCAAGCCATGTGCTAGGCACACACGTGCAATGCACACAAAGAAATAATATGGAAATAGATGCAGGCAGGCTGGTCCCTGCTGTGATTAATGAGTAACTCCAAGAATAAGGCCAACCGCAATGGATGCTGCAAAAACGTTGACTGGGGCAAAAGGTTTTTAATTTTTTTTTTTATTTCTTTATCCTTTTGTGGCTGTTGTTTGTAGGGGGAGGGGGTGGGGTGTGTGTTTTTCCCCTTGGTTTTCATTAGCTCAAGCACACACAAGGGACTTTTGTTTACTCTATTGCAAAGAATTGTCAACATACTGTAAACTGTGAGCATTGTTGTTGGTTGTTATTGTTTTTTTAAACTGCTAAACAGTATATCTGGTGGTCTCTTTGTCTCGTTTTCATTTCCAGTTTGATCTCTGGGTTTAGTTTTGTCTTAAAAAGAAAACTTCTGAAAAAGACAATCAGGAATAACTTTGAATTGGCTAGTGAAGAGTGGTACCTCCATAATCAGAGTGAGACCCAGGTTTGTAGCCAGAACACATGAACGACCTTTTTATTCCAGACACCCCTTCAGTTTTGCTCTTGTTTGGGATAGGTTTTTGTTGTTCTTGTGTCGTTATGCTTTTGTTTTGTTTTGTTAATGGAATCCGTATTCACACCCTGTGAACTCTCTGCCCTGAAACCACGAAACTTCACTGCAAAGAGAGAGATTGTCTCTTTCTGTCTACTTTCTTTAGAAATGGGGAACTTAGGAAGATGATGGGTATAGATCACCCTGCTGCCTTCTTCCCCAAGCTTCACTCCCACTAGAAATGAGGTGCCGCACCCACCCGCTCTGTCTGGTCCCCATGTGCGGGCATCAATGCATCAGCTGTGTTACGGAGACCTGTGTCTGCCTCCCACAACCCATCACTCATGGTGTTAACCCTAAAATGCCCACAGGTATTGAGGTGGTCTTCTGCATTGAAGTATTTTTCCTGTTTTCTTTTGTTCCCCACAGCGTGTGGGGGGAGGGTCCCTAAACCTGAGTGTGCCTTTGCTCTCCACCCTTGCTAGACACTGGTAGATGCAACCAACTCAGATTTATATTTGTTGTAAAGTTGTAAAAATATTGTGATGTCACCAATTTTCCTTCCATCTACACATCCCCTAACATCTGATTCATGACTTAATGTATGTTGTAAAAAAGAAAAAAGAATAGAAAAAAAAGGGAAAAAAGACAAAAAAGGCAAGGAAAAGGCTCTTTATTACTTAAAAGTAATAAAACAAGACTGTTCTGCATTCTCTTTTGTGTCCTGAATGCTTTTATTTATCTCGTAATTTCCTTTCTCACCCCTCCCCTTTTGGGCTAGGATGCTTCTCTTTCCGTCTCTATTTGGCTTCCAGAGCACAAATCACAAGGTAGTTAGACCCATTTGTTTGCAGTACCCACACCCTGCTCCCCAAATTATTGATGTGTTTTCTCTGCCTGCACCCAGCCCAGAGCAGGATTGGAGCAGAAGCCACCAGTAATTAAAAGGCAGAGCACACGTTGACTCCCTCAATTCATTTTATCCATTTTCTTTTTATGGGCTTGTTCATCATCAAACATTTATGGTAGGCTTGATAGTTTAAGAGATCAAGGCTAGGATTTTAGTATGTAAGGTCCACTAAAAATAGATCTTTGCACAGATGTGACTTCAGCCTTTTTACATATTAATAAGGTAGAGGGTGCCAGATTTTACTCCTTGTTAGCATCTCTCTCTTATAAGCCAGAAGACACGGTTGGAGGTATATTGCAATGCAGCACTTGGTTTTTATTTTGCAGGGTAGCATTTTGAAATGCCTAGATCAGGTTTTTTCCCCTTTCTGGAGTATTTTTAAAACAGTTATTTAAATAAGTCTTCAGCTGTAGTATTTTACTGTTGACCTTCTGAAATGATTTTTTTCAAGTGTTTTGGGTCAGTTTGAGTGTGAAAAGCTGTGGTTTCAGTTTATACCCCCTCAGTGGCCTGGTCACCTTTCACTAAGTTATTTCCAAATTGTTTAACTTGAATCCCACCCATAGGGCCAAGTGCTATCAAGCACAAAGTTGACTAGAATATAGTCCCTGCCTCCTCATTTATAAGGAGGGGTGGACAATGACCTCTAAGACTGGGAGATGGGAACAACGTGCTGAGGGAAAGGCCCAGAGATCTGGGGCTCTGCATACGAGCTGGTCCTTATAGAAGCAGTCCTCGGGACGTCTGACCCGGACAGAAGGGCTAACTTGTACAATGGTGCCGAGGGTGCTGTGATTGTAACACAGAAAGTTTAGTGAACCTTGAGCAGGATCTGTGAAAGAGCATGGCCAGGGCAGGGATGGGAAAAGGGGTCAGATCAGGAGAGGCCTGTGTACCATGGGCAGGATTCTAGCTGATGGGCAGTGGAGGGCATTAGAAGTCTATGAAGCTCCAAACACCCATGTTTGTGTTTAGAAAGCTACCTGGCAGTAATGTGGAAAATGGACTGGCTCAGGAAGAGGCTGCTGTTGGGCAGTGTGCCAAGCGGTATGCCAAGTTGGTAGGAGCGATGCATGAAATCCCACATCCAGTGTTGGATTCTTTTGGAAACAGACCTGACTCAGTTCTGTGACCATTCCTTCCTTGGCTGGTCAGAAGAGCTTCCTTCTCCTTCTGTGACTGACAGGTTTGTCCTGTCCAGTTATACCCAAATGTCAAATGGAGAGAATGACCAACAGCTTGTCTGACCCTTCTGTTTTAAAAAATGAGGAAGCTGTGGTCCACTGAGGAAAAGGATTTGCCCATGATTCTAAAGCTGGTGGTAGAACACTCTACCAAGCACAAATGTATTGCTTTTTACTATTCAGTTCAATTCAGCTGCTCAGTCGTGTCCAACTCTTTGCAACCCAATGAACTGCAGCACGCCAGGTGTCCCTGTCCATCACCAACTCCCAGAGCTTACTCAAACTCATGTCCATCGAGTAGGTGATGCCATCCAACTATCTCATCCTCTGTCATCCCCTTCTCCTCCTGCCTGAAATCTTTCCCAGCATCAGGGTCTTTTCCAATGAGTCAGTTCTTCGCATCAGGTGGTCAAAGTATCAGAGTTTCAGCTTCAGCATCAGTCCTTCCAATGAATATTCAGGACTGATTTCCTTTAGGATGGACTGGTTGGATCTCCTTGCAGTCCAAAGGACTCTCTAGAGTCTTCTCCAACACCACAGTTCAAAAGCATCAATTCTTCAGTGCTCAGTTTTCTTTATGGTCCAACTCTCACATCCATACATGACTACTGGAAAAACCATAGCTTTGACTAGAGAGACCTTTGTTGGCAATGTTTCTGCTTTTTAGTATGCTGTCTAGGTTGGTCATAGTCTTTTAATTTCATGGCTACAGTCACCATCCACAGTGATTTTGGAATCCAAAAAAATAAAATCTGCCACTGTTTCCATTTTTTCCCCTTCTATTTGCCATGAAGTGATGGGACCAGATGCCATGATCTTAGTTTTCGGAATGTTGAGTGTTAAGCCAGCTTTTTCACTCTCCTCTTTCACCTTCATCATTAGAGTAATACTAGCTTAAAAGACCTGACACCTACTACTCCCAAACTGCATCTCCAAATCACTCAACCATCCTTCATTACTGGAAGTCACGTGGACATGCCTCGCTCTTCCCCAGCTGAGCATTCCAAATTCGTGCATCCAGGTTGAGACAAAGGGGTAGGCGGAGGTTCAGACCACACTACAGACCAGTCCTGCCTATGTGCAACCTGAAACTTGAGATGGTGACTTTCACTGAAGTCAGCTTTGTTCTGGTGGGAAAGAGGTGACCAAGGCTGACCAGATGCAGCCTGTATTTTAGCTGCATTTTTAGGCCCTGGGGATGTTCCTGCTCAGACCTGAGATGTGCATCAGGTAACCTAGCTTTTTAATTGTTGTGTTTGCTTGCTTGCCTGTTATAGGGTTGGTGGCTTCTGCCAAGAGTTTTTAGACAGCCAGCTCCCAGGAGTGGCTGTCCCAGTACAAGCTAGGTATTTCATGGGGTCAGGCTAGGTATTTCACGGGGCCAGAGTTGGTGTCTTAGACCTACCTGCTTCCCTTAAGTACAATGTCAAGCAAGCACAAACTGGTCTCATCGTTCAGTCTTGTAAGTTGGCAGAAGACATACAAGACTCACAGAATCACAGGGCCTAGGTGTGACTGCCAGAACAAAAGCTCTTTCCAGAAAAGTCGTTCAGCAAGTAAAATAGAAGTTGTCAGAAGGGCACCTACAGTTTCAGACCCTGGGATATTTTGCACGAGGGAAAGGGGTGAGGGAGGTTTCAAAGAACCCTTTAGTAACACAATACACAATTAAGAGCTTAATCCTTGTCCAGGCTGAACACTGTGACAGCTGGGTGCTTGGACTCAGTAACCCTTAGAAACCTGCATCTCACGCCCATCTTAAACCCAGGTGGTGACGTGTCTCTTGTACAGAATTGGAAAGGAAGGGCTCACAATTATTGATCGGGCCTGCCAGACAGATGGGGATCTTCAGTATTCCATTTAGACTATTGTGTATCCTCAGCTCGAACCCCTTGGGGATGCCTGGAGGTGGGGGTGGTTAACCTCAACAGAGGGTTAGGGCTGAACTGATGCACATTAGATATGACTGGGCAGAAAAACATGCAGATGTCCCTCTGGCAAATGGAAATGAAATCTGAGCCCATCCAGAGAGGCAGCTGAGTGGTGGGGAGTTCCCCAAGCCCCTCGGTAAACACGTCCCTGCACACATGTGCACACAGCTGCTGTCGAAAGGCTTCTCCCGTCTTGGCGTCTAAAACCAAACATGGCACAGGAGTTAGAACCAGCGCCCACTGAACGTGGGCCCTTTGGGAAGGCTTTCCTCCCTTTTCCTGATAAAACATGTGTTCCATCTCAGCACATTTTGGTCAAAAGTGAACAGTCATAAGGGGCTTCCCGGTGGCTCACCAGTAAAAGAATCCACCTGCAGTGCAGGAGACGCAGGTTCAATCCCTGGTCTGGGAAGATCCCCGGGAACGGGAAATGGCAACCTACTCCAGTACTCTTGCCTGGAGAATCCCGTGGACAGAGGAGCCTGGTGGACTGCAGTCCATGGGGTCACCAAGAGTCAGACATGACTGAGTGACTAAGCATGCACATACAGGCATAAACCACAGTCACAGGAGTGGAAGCCAAGACCTTTGCAGAGGGGCCTGGACACGGGTCACTGGCAGCCCACAGGCACTGGCAGTTTTTTTATTCTTCCTAATCTGCTTCAAATAGAAGCAGATTCTCTCTTGAGAATCACTAACATCAGGTGATTGGTCCCACACATTATTGGTCCCACTGATGGAGCTGCAATAAAGGTTCAAATAAGGGGATGTTAATGAAGGCAGAAGTAGGACACCATGAAATTGAAGGCATTTTTCTCATTGATGATTTTCAGTTTGAAAAAAAAAACAGATGAAGGTGACATTGGACACAACACCAGTGCCAGGCAACCAACATGGAAAGAAACTCTGGCAGGATTCCCAGGGGTCTCCTAGGATGAGAAAGATGATGAAAACTCTGTCTGAGAACCAAACGTTCTCTTTTATCCTGTTCATCATGACATCTGCCCTGACCACGTTACAGGGTGGTGAGAAAGTGGGTGATCTCAACAAACTTCTTTCTTAGGTATGGACACTGAACATTTTGCAGGCCTGATCTGTGTCAGCACAGAAGCACAAATTTCAAAAATAAGGCTAATACTTGCTTCATAAAAGATGAAATGTGGACTGGCACCAACCCAAAAGAAGCAGGTCTTCTGATTGCTGATGAAAATTACAATTTACATTGGGGGCATTTTATAGTCTGCAGACATAATCTTATCCATTATATCATTAGATCCTCATAGCAGCCTAGTGGGGTGGGCAGCCACATATATGATTATCTTCATTTTACAGAAATTGGACTTTAGAGACAAGGGATGTTACTGGAGCAGTGATTGACATTAAAGAAAAAATGCAGTCATGTCTCTAAAACCTGTGTGTTGACATCATCCCTCAGCTCTCTCGGGGACACCTCAGGTTACACAATTATTCTGCCTCACCAAAGGGGAAAAGCCTCCCACAGCATTTCCCAGGAGAGATGGTCACAACAATAAAAGTCCCCAAAATAAAGGCGAGGTGCACACGTTCTATTTTGAGGGCATTGTGCTCTAATATTTTTCCATCATTAAAGAATACATCTCTTCCTTCCTGCGTCTGCAAAGTCCTGATGCCAGCCGAGTTATAAGGAACTGTCCACAAAGCAGGAAAA